AGAGAGGGAGAGAGATAAAAAAAAGAGTGACAGAGAGAGAGAGCGAGAGAGAGAGAGAGAGAGAGAGAGAGAGAGAGCGAGAGAGGGAGAGAGAGAGAGAGAGAGAGCGAGAGCGAGAGAGAGAGAGAGAGAGAGAGAAAGAGAGAGAGAGAGAGGACGAGAAAAAAGCTGGCACCCACGTGCCTAATCTCTCCCGAAATCAATCGTTTATACCGCGTTTCTGTCGAAAGGTTAAAATCTCATAAAAACAATCAACGTCAAATTTAGCGTCAAATCCATTCTGTTCAGTTAGCAGCTGCGTGGGATCAGGATGCACCAAACGTACGAAGAACAGTAACAATTTACTGCCGCACCTGCCATTATATATATATATATATATTATATAATTAACAGAAGGAAACAATAAATTTCAATTTTCAATTTCATTACACCCGACGTAGATACATGCAGCCAGTATAATTTGCTTTCACATGCACTCATTGCTACCTATGTGTGTGGGTGAACCTCTCATATTTGTTGTCACGCGAAAAGCCTAAAGATTAAGGAAATAATTTCCAGATTAAACCTTACATCAATCACTATCCACATTTTGCGGCGAACCGACCGCTTAATGACAGTTCTTTTGTTTCCCATGTCACTAGCGTAACCACGCCGCAAATCAGCGACGATCACGTGACCTTGAACACGGATGCGACCATATGCAACTTAGCATGCATAAATGCTGATGACGATTATTAAAAATAAAACGCATGCTGTATATATGTATTTATATTATATAACGAGTGTCTTCACGAGGTAATCTGATGAAATACAATTAAATGCGAAGATCGAGCAAATGATCGAAGTAAAAGGGAAATGGGAATCGGGAAAAGGGAAAAGGGAAATGGACTAAAAACAACGATTGTCACAATAATATAAAGAACATAAGTCTCCATATACGTCACGAGGAATTCCAGTGCTTCCTCCTGCACTACAACCCGCTATAAGAACCATACGCTTATTCCCTTCTCTTACTCTATCCAATAACTCCCGCATGTCCCGTCTATCATAGGATTTACCTATATATATGTATACACACATATATATATATACACATACATACATATATACACACACATACATACATATACCACATATATATATAAATGACTTGTACAAACATTGTCTGAACTCGTCAGCACTGTTCAGACAATGCGTAATCAACAGTTCGGGTAGAGCTACGACGTACCCTCTGATTTCTATGGTCGCTAGAAGTGGATCGAAGCCTAATCTCAACCTTACGTAGTTTTATTTCTTACATCTGGGGTTTCACTCAGATCGCACGTCGCCT